GAAAGCAGGAAAGTAATTGTAATAGAGTTATCGAGTGTATCGCGTCGGTATCGCGGGTCACGTTGTACCGTAGCAAGGGTTCACCGAGGCGTTAGGCGAACAATTAAAAACGCATTAGCAGGCCAGGTCGACGGCCATAGACGCCGGTTTCATGTCGCTGGAGAAACGTTGGATCCGCGGGGATATAATTTGATCCACGTTCGCGATTTTGCTCTTATTTTTCAGTAATTTCGAGTCGCTCTGGGCGGCTCTAGTTGGGCGCGCGCGAGCTCGCGCAACCTTCCGTAATTACAGGCCGTCTAGCCCCCTTCGTCTTTTCCTTCTTCGACCACCATCTTCGTCCTCCCTGCCCCGGGAAGGCCCTGGGCGACGTCTAGGAACCTAGAGATTCCCTAACGATGCGTCGGCCACGAACTGCCAGGGGATGAAAATGATAGGACTAAAATGGGGGGAATTGCGAGGTTCTGCGCTGAGTCGAATGTGGAGACATTAGTGAGAAAGGCTGTAGGGAACCATCGTTGCAAATATAAAAGATGGAGAGTTTATACATTTCTGAAGGTCCAAATTTCCAAGTTGCCTACTTTATAAATTCTGAAATATTCAAATCCCCAAATCCTCATATTCCTAAATTAAATCTTTAACTCCCCAAATGTCCACATCCTCGAATCTTGCAATCCTCAAGTGTCCACATCCTCAGGTCTCCAAATCCTCAAATCTCCAAATCCCCAAATTCTTAAATTTCCAAATCCCAACCCCGAAATTTTCAAATCTCCAAATCTTCCAATTCTCAAGTGTCCACATCCTCAGGACCCCAAGTCCTTAAATCCCCAAACTTTCAAATTCTTAAATTTCCATACCCCACCCCCAAATTTCCAAATCTCCAAATCTCCCAAACCTCAAATCTTCCAATCCTCAAGTGTCCACATCCTCAGGTCCCCAAATCCTCAAATCCCCAAACTCTCAAATTCTTAAATTCCCAAATCCCAACCCCGAAATTTCCAAATCTCCAAATCTCCCAAACCTCAAATCCCCAAATTCGAAACTTGCATCCACTGCAACATGAAATAATATCGCGAGCGAACGAAACAAGAGCAAAGTAACAAAGGATCTCGAAGTAGAATTTAATCTCAGGATCAGCGAACAAGGGGAAAGTGAAAAGAAGCAGCGCAACATAGAATAGAAAAAGGAAAGCGTAGAACAAAGTGAAAGTTAAAGGAAGCTAAATAGAATTAATAACAGGAAGTATCGCGTGAAAAATTGATAAAACCAGGGGAAAGATGACGTGTTTCAAGGTTTACTCGATATAAAAGTCAAAGTGTCTGCAATATGGATTCGTTTTTCTTGCAACTCTTCAAATTTTGTATTCGTGCGATAGCTACATGATGGTATAACTTGTAATTATGGTGTAACGGGATCATGACACCGCGTTTGAGCGAAGTTGAAGTGTAATTTTCTTATAACTTGAACTGTCGAAGTTTACAACGGACAGCTTCTCCTATTCGTGCAACGAATGTGAATAACTTCAGTAATCCACATCTGCTTTTGAAATTGTTCCAAATGGTTTTCGCTGAATTCCATGTAAACCGCTATTTATTTAATCTTTAGCTTTGAAAATTCGCAAAATGAAACTATAGACTGTAATCTTATTTCACGACACGTATCACGAGTCCATGAATAATCCTAGTTAAACCATCGGCTTATCTTTATTAATTGGCCGTGTAAAAAGTCAATGTTTGTCACGCAACATCAGCGATGTTTAGATAATGTCGAGTGTCTGCATTTATTAGCGGATTAATGAATCACGTTTCTGAGGATGCGCGATCGAAACGCATACGTGGTATTAGATACGCGATGGACAAAGTCGTTTACCCTCTTTAGAAACTAATCATAAGGCTGTTAGAACATGTATACAACTTATGGAAGACGTAAACTTTTCGAACGCTAAGTCTCCATTATTAAATTAAGTAGCGAGCTTGACAAGTTGAACGTATTCCACTTCTGCTGTTTTTCATACTTTTATGTATCGATCGCTAAGGAAGAACCTTCTTTAGGTATCCGTTAAAGCAATTTAATGTAATTTGACCAAACAAAAATTTGACCAATCAAGAGACAATGAAGTAAAATGTCAAGTTTGATATCAAAGGATTATTGGTGATTTCCATTCCAAGATCGATCGATGGAATCAGCAGTGACGGGTAATTAAATCGAAGGCTCGATCGATTGTCATGCGAAGACTAAGTAAAACGCTTGAAATGTTAACTGGGTCTTTAAGGCGCACGCACGATCTTCGAGAAGGTCGGCAAGAGGGCCGATTTAATGGCCACATCACGTATGTATGTACGCGCAAGCTTAAATAAGATGCGTTTCCACGTGCGAGCGTTCCTGCGATTACGGCTTAACGCGTAACTTACATCCTTGATGGAAGGAACACGCTGCCTTTGCTGCCTGTAAACAAATGCTTCCAACGTATCACGTTATCTTGATGCTCCACGACGGTACCTTTTCACCTGTTTTTTAAATTACATCGAGATTCATGGTACTGTTAGATATTTCTTGACATTGCACGAAAGGAGGATAATTTAATCAGGTGTGCTTTGGTATGGGTTATGATGGTATGTGGTGTCAATTAAGATTGGGATGAGTTTTGATGTGGCTATGCGTCGCTAACCACGCGTTAATATCTCTACGCAAGCTATTAACACGCGTTAATACTGCTACGAGCCGTAGTATCACGCGTTAATAGTTCCACGCATTGAATTACCACGCGTTAATATCTCTACGCAAGCTATTACCACGCGTTAATATCTCTACGCATTGAATTACCACGCGTTAGTATCTCTACGCAAGCTATTGCCATGTGTTAATACTGCTACGCGTTGTATTACCACGCGTTAATAGTTCCACGCATTAAATTACCACGCGTTATTATCTCTACGCAAGCTATTACCATGCGTTAATAGTTCTACGCATTGAATTACCACGCGTTATTATCTTTACGCAAGCTATTACCACGTGTTAATACTGCTACGCGTCGTATTACCACGCGTTAATAGTTCCACGCATTAAATTACCACGCGTTAATATCTCTACGCAAGCTAATACCACGCGTTAATACTGCTACGCGCCGTATTACCACGCGTTAATAGTTCCACGCATTGAATTACCACGCGTTAATATCTCTACGCATTCTATTACCACGTGTTAATGCTGTAACGCCCCGAGTTACCACGCATTAATAGTTCCACGCATTGTATTACTACGCATTAATAGTTCCACGCATCGAATTACCACACGTTAGTATCTCTACGCATTCTATTACCACGCATTGAAACTGTTACGCGCTGTGTTACCGCGCATTAATAGTTCCACGCGCCATATTACCACGTGTTAATAGTTCTACGCAAAGTACTACTACGCATTAATGTCTCTGCACATTGTACTACTGTGCATTAATACCACTGCGCAGTGTACTACTGCGCATTACACTACCAAGCGTTAATAGTCCTACTCATTAATGCTTCTGCGCATTGTATTACTGCGCATTAATACTGCTGCGCACTGTACTACTGCGCATGTCACTACCAAGCGTTAATAATGTCACAAGTCGTACTACTAATATTGCTACTAATATTGCTACTAATATTGCTACATTAATCTTAATTTGATACATTAATCTTTCTACACGTTCTACGTTAATTCACTGCTCCATCACACTTGATATCACTGCGCGTTAATATTGTCCCATATAACATTAATATTAGTACCGCCATATTTACACCCCTAGTGCAAACTTTTCCTTAATTTCAAAATTTTCCTACATCTATCATCGTCCATAGTAAACGTACATCAGATGTAACGTGTCCTTAAGAAGTGAAAAGCTGACATTGACGAAAAGTAACAATAAAGGGTGAGAATTTGAAATTCGATTCAGGTCAGAACGTTGGCGGAGAGAGTTAACGGGTCGAGAATCGAGCGATTTATCGTCCCGAGCTTTCCGGGCAAAGTATTCCGGCCGACTTCCGGCAGACGTAGGTATCGGTCGATCGACATGACTCTTTCGAGGCGGGAATACTCAATTACCCGAACGGACTTCTAGGTAACCGAGCTCGTGCAGCTGGTTCTTTTCTTCCTTTCTTTCTCTTCTCTTCTTCTTTTTTTTTTCTCCTCGACTTATGCATAGCCGGCTCTCATGAGCGAATCAGGCATGCGTGTCGTTCTTTACCCTCGCGACGACAGCCACCGCGATGATGCCGTTTAAAAATTAATTAGAGCTTAATGAATTATCGGGGAACATCCAGTTATCTCGTTCGATCTGGTTGAATGTTGTCCGACAGAATTGGACGAGTTTGTTGAGAGATTTATGTCCTTCTGTATTTTATTTCTACCACGATTAGATGCATGGCTGAACAAGATGGATGTGGAGATTACAGTTGGAATGGACTTTGGTTTAGCAATTACTAAGTTTTTGGAATAAGGGAATTATTTTTTGAGGTTGAAAATAGTGGGTTAAGGTGTGGCGTTCTATCAGTAGATGACATTTATTAAATTTATACGATGGGGCCTTATGTTGTATCTTACTTATTATCTTAAAAATATAATTGTTTCAGTATAATGGTTTTTTGACTGTTATAAATTGTTCAAGATGAAAGATAAGGATTTTGACAATTCATAATTAACGTTGCTTAAACTAGAAAGAGACGTGTACAAGATGGTAAATGATTGCTACTGTCAGTTTCGGTCAGGAACATTTTTTTGTGCTCACAGAGCAAGTTACAAATAACTTCTGATTCAGATAATTGTTCGTATAAATTGAAAAAGAAATTACAGTATTAAAAATTACTTAACAGTCACTATAATCAAATATCTCTTTAAGAAACACAAAAACGATGGACCATCAGAGAAGTGCCTTCAGAGCAAATATCGTTGAAGCATGACGAACGGATGAAAGTCGAATTTTTCTTATCGACATCCAACAACCAGTAATTTGGTCTCTGTTGCAGGTCCCGACATACCAGGATTCCTGTTACAACCGTTCAGGAAGCCGAAAAGAATAAGGACGGCGTTTAGTCCCAGCCAATTGCTGAAGCTCGAGCACGCGTTCGAGAAAAATCACTACGTGGTCGGCGCTGAAAGGAAGCAGCTGGCGCAGGCGCTATCGTTAACGGAAACGCAGGTAACATTCTTTTCTTCTTTTTATCACTTGTCAACCTTTGTAAAATTCTGTAATTATACTCTAAATTCAAATTGATCGGTTACTTAACCTTACATCGCGCTCACGTAAACATATATCACTTGTGACAGACAAAGTCCCCGAATTCCCAAGTCCCTAATTTCCCAAGCCCCCGAATTCCCAAGTCTTCGAATTCCAAAGTCCCCAAATTCCCAAGCTCCCGAATTCCCAAGCTCCCGAATTCCCAAGCCCCCAAATTCCCAACTCCCCAAATTCCCAAGCTCCCGAATTCCCAAGCTCCCGAATTCCCAAGCTCCCGAATTCCCAAGTCCCCAAATTCCCAAGCTCCCGAATTCCCAAGTCCCCAAATTCCCAAGCTCCCGAATTCCCAAGTCCCCAAATTCCCAAGCTCCCGAATTCCCAAGTCCCCAAATTCCCAAGCTCCCGAATTCCCAAGTCC